CTATCCACAGCTTGCCTATATCTATTATCAACCAGCTGAATAGGGTTATGGCTAATTCCTTGTGGGGTTACACAAATGGTAAGGCCAAGCATCACTGGAGAAAATGGGAAGCTATTTGCAAACCTAAAGACGAGGGAGGTCTGGGGCTGAGAAATATCAAGGATCTGCAAAAGGCCTACTCACTAAGAATATGGTGGAAGGCTCAGAGGGGTAATAGTATATGGGCCTTATTCATTAGAGACAAGTACCTAAGGAGAAATTCATTCCAAGAAAAAATAGTGGACTCCCCTAATTGGAAGAGAATATGTAGAGTGGCATGTATAGCAGAGGAACACTCGGGTTTGCAAAATGGTGTTATGCATTGGGATGGGGGAGAATTCACTCTTAAACAAGGTTACAATGCATGCAGGGAAGTGGGGAATTCACAACTAAGTTACAAACTGGCGTGGCACAAGCTTAAATCCCAAGTGTTAAACTACTCCAATGGAAAATTCTGCAAGACATCATTCCTTTCCCACAGATATACATCAAAGCTGGCTTCCACTTGCATTCACAATGCCCACTCTGTAAATCATGGGAAGCAAGTGTAAACCATACCATTCTCCATTGTGAGTTCAGCATCTACATTTGGAACCTCTTTGCAAACCTCCTACAAGGGCCAAAAGCCAAAGAAGGAATTACTTTGAGACAACATTTCCTAGAATGGGGTCTTAGAGCAAATAGTAAGACACAAAGAGGAAACTTGAGAATGGTTATACCTGGTATAATAGCGTGGAACATATGGAAAATATACAGTGCAACAATCTACAATGAAGACATCCCCGTTATGTCCACAACACTTAAACGAATAAAAACAACCATTCAACATTGGAATTGGCTACACAGGAAAAAGAGTTGGATGATCAGAGACCAAGAATTGTATGACTTGGGGTTCCAAACCTTCAGCCTCAATGGGAAGTACATACCTGTGGAGCAGCTACGGTTTTGCAGCAGTCATTCGAGAAGGAGGAGAGGAGGCAACGACGATTACGCAGAAGGAACATCCTCAAAGATTAGTCTGTTGTTTGTGTATTTTATTTGTGTATCTTGTTCTTTTGTCTCTCTTTACTGGGTCTTGTCCCGGTGGGCTGAGTTCTCAACTCAACCATTGTGCTGTATAAAGTTCTATATTTAATAAACTTTGCTACGGTTCCCCGAACGTAGCACCACTGAGTTTGGTGGATCCTTCGGGTTAATATACACACACACACACACACACACACACACACACACACACACACACACATATATATATAGGGGTAATAATATATATATATATATATATATATATATATATATTATTTAAAGAGGCTTTATTAATACAGAAAAAAGAGTACAAGAAGAGAATGCCCTACTACACCACATTCAAAAGTTTGCTACCGTTTAACCAAAATAAATCTAAACCCCAACCAGTGAAGGTGTAATCATGGATCAGCCATTTTTTGCGTCGTGAAGCCCAACTCCAAGCTTGAATATGTTTAAAACAATGTTGGATGATACCCTCCGTGGTGTGGATCTGGCCTTCATGAATTGCTAAGTTCCTTGCCTTCCAGAGGTGCTAGGCAATGACTCCGGGCATAATGACTTGCAAAACCCCTTTGAAGGAGAATGTATCACCGGAGAACCACCAACTGATGAAAATTTGGTTAAGATTGAGGTTGTGCGCTGACAAGGGAGCATCGATGAGAGTGCCATAGTACTTCCAGACCTGGTAACCAAACTTGCAATTTCCGAGAGTGTGGTCTAAGGAATCTTCTGCTTGCTTGCAAAGCGGACATTGGCTGGGGAAACAGGAGCTGAAGCACTTGGTTAACTCCGGGAAGGGTAGGCAGTTCATGAAAGCTTTCCATTGGAAGAGTCGGAGTTTGGGAGTCTGGGCTTTATGCCAAATGTACTTGCAAGAAAGCTGGGAGGGTAGTACGCCAAAAAGAGATATGAGGATATTCTTGGAGCAGAACGGTTTCCCATCCCAAAGTGGAGGGTGCACAGAGTCATTAATGTGAGTGACGGCGTAGGATTGAACACGGCAGATTCTCTTCCATGGCGTGGAATCAGTGAGCTTCTCTTTGATTGTGCCCTTGCGCATGTAAATGGCTCGCATGGTGTTAGCCCAGACCCCCGTATCATGATTCACCCGCCACCAGAGGTTGATCGAATGGGTCTTTTGAAGTGTTTAGAGATCCTTAATATCCAGCCCACCCGCGCTTGAGGGTTGACAGAGACGTTTCCAGCTCTTCCAGTGATGAAGATGGTTGCCATGCCTTCTTCCCCAAAAGAAATTGGCCATCCTAGAGTGAAGAAGATTGATGACAGCCACCGGGAGAGAGTGCACGGCTAGAATATGTTGGGGGATGGACGAAAGCACGTGCTTGATGAGTATAAGACGTCCCATTTGGTTCAATGTTTTGTTATACCACGATTGAATGTGCTTGTCAAAGTGATCCATGAGGTTGCCACAGTGGTGCTTTTTAAGATGCCCTTTGCAAATGGTAGCTCCACAGGGTAAGGTTCCTTTATGCATGCCCAAAATTTTTTCTATGTTCTGCAGGTGGGTACTGTTTGTGGTTTCTTTGACGTAGAACTTGCTCTTTGCTGAATTAATGACTTGACCAGAATCTGAAGAGTATACATCCAACAACTTCTTGAGCTTGAGTAGATTGACTGAGTCACCTTTAGTAAAGATCATTATGTCATCGGCATAGGTGAGGTGGCCTATAAACTTCACGCTTCCCATGTTATAGTGGTGGATATGGGATTCCTCCATGCTTCTGTTAAGTAGACGTGACAGACCTTCACTTGCAATAATGAAAAGAAGAGGCGAAAGAGGGTCGCCTTGCTTGACACCCCTAGTCATGGGAAAGTAGCCTGCAGGTTGACCGTTAATGAGGACTGAGAGCATACTGCCTTTTAGGTTGGCCATGAGAAGGCTAGCTGCTTTGGTGCTGAAACCGAACCGAAGAAGAACTGCCTCCAGGTAGTCCCAGCGTAGGGTGTCGAACGCCTTAGCCATGTCAATTTTAACGATGATGTTTCCTCCAAAAGTTTTCCTATTCAAGTTGTGCATAGCTTCCAAAGCAAGGAGAATGTGGTCAGACATGCATTTCCCTTTTTGAAATGCCGCTTGATTGTTGGAAATAATCTTGGGGAGGATGGTTTTTAACCTGCAAGCTAGAATTTTAGTATTAACTTTGCTCATAAAAGTACTCAAAGAAATGGGCCTGTAGTCTTCGAAACTTTTGGGGCAATCCTTCTTAGGAATTAAAGTAATTAGGGTGCTTCCAAAGGCGTGGGGGATGGCAAACCCTAAGAAGAATTCTTGGGAGGCTTTAAGCATGTCTTCCTTGATTATATCCCAAGTGGTTCTAAAGAATAGCCCGTTGTATCCATCAGGTCCTGAAGCGCTGTTGGTGTCAAGGGCCCAAACCGCGTTTTTGACCTCCTCCAGGCAAGGTGTTGTCCATCTCTGAAAGGAGGGAAGGTATATGAGAAAGGTTGTGCAAGGGTGGTGGTTCGGCTGGGGCCTTGAACTGGCTGGAAAAATGGGTTATTGCCGCATCGCGAATCTGGGAAATGTCTGAAAGCCCAATACCAGAGGGAGAGATAATGTGATAGATAGCAAGCTTCTTTCTCTTACCGTTGGCGAAAGCATGGAAGACCTTGGAATTCATATCCCCTTGTTCTAGCCATTTGGCATTGGCTTTTTGTTTCCAATATACAACTTCCTTGTGGGTGGCTAGGAGCAACCTTGCGCTAGCTTCCTTGGCTATAACACGGTTGGTCTCCGTAGGGTTTCCTTCGTAAAGCTGCTGAGTGGTAGTGGCATAATTTTCAGCTTTGTTGAGGTTATCAAAAATATGGCCGAACTCATTCTTGTTCCAAGCTTTGAGATCCTGGAGTTTGGCTACAAGTCCGTGCATACCGCTAACAGTAGGGCTTTTGTTCCAGCATTCCTTGACAACTGGAATGAAATTAGTGTGGTCGATCCAAGGGTTTATATATATATATATATATATATATATATATATATATATATATATATATATGGGATTGACTCCAGTGAGATGACACCTTATGGTAAGATGACATGCTTCAATGAGATGACACAACACACAACACTGCCAATGGAAAGCTCACCAACTGCCAATGTAAAACTCACCAACTGCCAATGCAAAGCTCACCAACTGTCAATGCAAAGCTCACCACTTTTTTTAAATAAAAAAAGTTAAAAAAATAGCACCACCACTCAACCACCGCTCAACCACCGGTCCACGGCAACAGTAAGGGTTATCGGTGGTGGCCATTGGTCATGGGTGGTCAAAGTGTAAAGCTTACCAACTATCAATGCAAAGCTCACCAACTGTCAATAGAAAGCTCACCCAGGAATAATGCAAAGCTCACCACTTTTTTTATAAAAAAAGCTAATAAAATTGCACCACCAGTCAACCACCGGTCCACAACGGTAGTCTAAAGCGGTTGGAAGTCAGCACCACCGTCCTTTGTTTTTTTTTGAAATTATTTCAAACTTTAAAGTGTGGTGAGCTTTGTGCACATATTCGGTGAGCTTTGCAATGATAATCAGTGAGCTTTGTTGTTGGGCTTTGTAAGCATTTAACCATCAAATTTTGAAAAAAAAAGTAAAGTGTTGGAAAATCATGGTGAGCTTTGCAGTGGACAGTGGTGAGCTTTGCAGTGATCAATGGTGAGCTTTGCAGTGATCAGTGGTGAGTTCCAGCGTCATCTGACTGAAACATGTCATCTTACCATAAGGTGTCATCTCACTGGAGTCAATCCCTCTATATATATATATATATATATATATATATATCCTCTTATTATATAAATGTAGATACCAGTTAGGTACCCATTAATTTTATGGTTTTTTTCCATCCAAAAAAATATGTACTCTTAGGCTTTAGAGTTGTACCAATAGTATATAATACCCACTGTGCCCCTAACCACGTTATACTCTCCGTCTACTGTGGAGTAAATATATACTATCCAATTCCGTAACTCTTATCGTATCCTTTCAAACACAACCCAAATCCGGCTCTCGCAATTTCTTCTTTGTAATCCGATTAAAGGCTCGCGAATTCCACGGCTTCACCTGATAAAATAGGAGTAAATGCTTGAATTGGGTATACAATTTGATTCATCACCTGCTATAGGAGTAAATTGTTGAGTGATTCACACGATGCGTTGCTAAGAATTTCGCTTGAACTCCGGCTTCCCCAGAAAAAAACAGGTAATTGATTTGCTTAATTTCAATTTTTTTTACGCGATTCGGTTGTTTTCCGGGTTGTAGCTGAAAGACATCTGACTTCCCTTTTATTTTTCCAGTTCAAAATTTTGGAATATACTCCTAATTAATAATTTAAGCATCCGTTACGTTTTTGTCAATCAAGTAGGTATTTATAATCGGTTTATTGAGATGGAATGAAACACAGTCCTGTGCTTTGCTTCCAGGTTTGTGAATTCTTTCTGCTTTTTCCAAAAAAATTACACTCATTGGTGGTGAATGGTTTTTTCCTCCGATTGTGATGGTTATTTGTAATTACCCAGTTTCTTTTCATCATTTGTACTGAATAATTTTTTTAAAAAAATTCCAGGTTCACTTTCATTTGCTCTAATTACCAAGATCATTGTTAAGGTAAGTACTATTTCTTCACAGAATAGTTCTTCACAAAAATCATTGTTAAGGTAAGTATTATTTGTTTATACCAATCTGTTTCTTAAACCATACTTAGAGTCTTTCGTTAAAGTCATGGATGAAAAAGTATCTTATCACCATCCTCGCCATCTATTCTTCTTCAGTCATTGTGTGCAAAAAATAACCCATATCCTGTGTGATAGCTTAGTAGCACCCAAACAGTATCAACTTATTCCCAGTTTTGCCGAAATTATGCCATCACCTATATGGTAAAAAACATGCTTTTAGGAAATTATTTGAATATCATTACATAGCCTATTGGTTGAGGCATTGCATTTCTTGGTTTATTGATCTCTTCAATGGAAAAAATGACCACATTGCATATCTTTTTTGAAATTAAGAGATTTAGAAAACAAAAATTTACCTCTAGGTTGTGTTTGCCCAAAGTAGGCATCGTGAATGCTGCGAAATTGAAGCGCTAAAAGTCTTGCCTTGTGAGTCGATGTGAGAGCTCTGACGTTTGAACCTGAAGAGTTTAAACATCTATGATAGAAGCCACATGTTTTCTAGATTACCTCATAAAGATCAAATTGCGGGAGAAGGTGTCTGGAGATCGCAAGTGTGTGCGCTGTACTAAGCTAGAATTACAGGAGATAGTAGTCTGTGATGGATGGGGTCTGTGTAAAAGGGTAGGATGTTGTTTGTGATGGAAGGTGTGTGTAAGCCTAGGGTAGAATATCTGGAGGAGTTAGAGGCAGATCTGCTAATATCACAGAGGATATTGTTCATTCCACTGTTAATAAGTACAAGATAAAATATATGCGCGCCTTAGGATTAGAGTAGTATCCTGCGTATTTGGAAGTACAATTTGAACTCTTCAGGTTATCTTTAGTACAATCTGAACTCCTCAAATTATCTTTAGTAATTCAAACTCCATATATGTTTAGTATCCTGCATATTTGCAAGTAGTTTGAACTCCATTTATCTTTAGTATCTATAGGGCTCCGTCTTCTTCACATCGGCACTTGGCGTCTCCTCCTCGTCCTCGCCTTCTTCCTCCAAGGTCAAGCTTTTCTCTGTATATTCTTATAATCGGGTTCCCGAGTTTCGATTTTTTTTACTCTTTCATCTCTTCCTATGGTTTAAATTTCTCTAGATTCATCCCGATTCGGAAAATCTGCTTGGACATTCACTTTTTGCATCCTTCAATTCAAAATTTGTGGCCGGAAACCAACGCTTTCTCTGTGCTGGAGCTGTGTTTTTGTGAAAAGGCGCTCTTCGGGACTTCGTGTGGGGTTTTTTTGGATGGTACAGGAACAACACAAAGATCTGCGAATTTGCTTTAAGGAGATATCGATTTCTGGGCTTTGTGATGGATGTTGATTTTGATGGAGATGTGACGAATCTTGATGCTGAGCTCTTGCAGCTCTCAGAGGTGTCTCCTATGGCTATCAAAGCAAACCCTCATATCCCAGAGAAGCTCTTTGATCAATGGCTGTTGCTTCCAGACACAGTTTCATTGGTAAAATCCTTGGTTAACAATGCCAAGGGTGGTGGCCCTCTCAACGTCTCTGGAACATTTAGTATCGTGTAAGTACAATATGCATAGTTTGAACTCCATTTATCTTTAGTATCGTGTATTTTTATCTTTAGTATTCCGATGCTTCATATTGGGGTAATTTGAACTCCATTTATCTTTTCCCTCCATTTATCTTTAGTATCTTACATATTTGAGTAGTTTGAACTCCATTTATCTTTAGTATTTTGATGCTTTAAAAACAGATAGATTTTTATGGTCTTGTTTCAACGATCTTTTGACATTCATTTCAGTGTCCAAAATAGATTTGTGTCTTGTGTTGTGATGAAACTCATTTGTTGTTGTGATCTGTGTTTTAGTTTCTCAATTTTCAAATTCTTTTTTCATTTAAGGTTGTGGTATACTACTTTCGTCGGATCCAATGGGGTCGTCGGATCCTTTTCAAATTCATGAAAAGGATGAAACCAGGTGTGTTGACCCATTTGGGAAGACTTTTCAATTTATCAAGGGAAGGAAATAACATTCCTTTTGGAGAAAGACCTAAAAAACACTATATTTCAAACCATCAGTCATCTTCATGTTTAATTCCGTATTTGTGAGTAAACCAGTAGGGAATCCACAGTAAGGCTACTTATATAACTCACTTTAGGAGTCTTATGCAAATGTTAATTTAAAATACTGAAATAAACTTTCGATATCCTATTACATGCCCAATGTCATAATGTCGAAAATGAAGATTCATATGGCCTCTACTCTTTATTTGGTCTTACTGGTTTACTCTGCAGGCTAAATTTCTCAAAGCTTGTGGAACCTTACCCGAAACCCCTGTTGAAGTTCTAAAATTATCAAAAGAATGTGAAGATTCATCATCTCAGAACGGTGCATTGTTTCCTTCAGATCACAACTCCTGGCTACCTGACATGTCCATTGTTAACCAAACCCTGCATTCACATCCTGAACAACCTCTAATACCTTTCAAAAACTGTGACAAATTGATGGAGGGTTCAGTTTCTGCTTTCGTTACTCCTGCTAGGTATCATTCTGACCCCATTAGTCCGTATTAGCTTCATGGTAATCAGCACTTTCAGTTAATAGTCTTATTGCATTTCAAAGTGCACATATATGTTTTATGACAGTTGCCATTTTATGGATTTCTTCATGTCTCTAGATCATAATTTTGAGACCTCCATCTTCTTGTCAGTATATTTATGAAATGCAAGGAACTTTTTAAACTTATTCTTTTAAGTTTTATGCAGATGAATGGTGTAAAAAACTATTGACTTTTGTAATCTACAACACCTTTAACAAAACACCATTTACATGAACTGATGATACACTATCAACGGTATTCTCCATTCTGCACTTCATAACAATCAAACTACTACAGACCAAACTAATGACAAGTATTTCATCCCTTAATTTCCATCATTCAAGTCATTTTAAGCAATTGGAGAAATTTTTCATGTGCTTTATCTCATGGAAATAAAAAATAAAACAAATGTACTCACTAAAAATATTCCAAAAATAATTTTTTTAATATTTTATTCCAAATGAAAAGTAATCATAACTCACTTCTCATCTATTTAATATAAGTAATGAAAATCAACAAAAAGGTACTCTATGAGGCAAAAAAGCTACTCTATGTTGGAATGTTTTCAATTAGATGTCTGTATTCCATTTTATGGAGAGTGCGCATGTCTTTTAAGATTATTAGCAGATCAAGGGTCTATTATCAAACATGTTAAAAAATGTTGACATGGCACTGTCAGACCTTTTCTAAAGCTCTGTTACATGGTTTTTTAACCATTCTGATCCCAATGTGTTTACGCTCTGTACCCCATCACGCTAATTTACAGGTTATTCTCTCCCTAAAACGCCACCTCTCGGTGTAACACATTTTCTATACCAAAGATGACAAACACTGGACAATGAAGCTGAGACACTTGGTGGCATCGGCAGTGTTAGTGTGGATGAAGATGACATTTGTAGAAAATGAAAGCAGTGGAAAACGTGATTAGGACAACGCTTTCAGGAGAAAAGAATTTTCTGGAATAAAAATTATAACTGGATTCATATCCAAATGACAAAACGATGAAGCCAGAAAAAAAAACAAAAGTGTACCAGGGAGTCACTCTTTGTATCACACCATTACGTTATAAACCCTTAAAGTACTAGAGGTCTTAAAACACATACGAAGTAACCAAATATGGCGGGAAAAAAACAGACTCTGAATTTAACATAAGCCAAACCCTTGCGTATTTTCAATACTTTTTTTTAACAAATAAGCTTTTGAGTTATTCATAACATTTTTGTTTCAATACTCTGAAACTCAAGTATGAAAATATAATTCAAAATGTCTTGAAAGAGATGGAGAACATATTGGCAATTTAACAGATCTGAATGGTACTCTTTCGTGTTTGCATTTCTAACTAAACCTGGAATACATCAATTCTGATTCGCAGACCACTTCCAAGAACCCTACATCACACAACAATACCATAGAGGATGGGTTTTATCATAGAGGATGGGGAAACTGAGGTTGAAGGCGATGTCGAAGGACTAGACATATGATGAAGTTATCCACCAAACTTTCAAACTTCATACGGATAAGAGTATTTTATTATATTTTCATTTTAACTCAATAAAAATTAAACCTTTATTTATACATGTTATTAGACATATAAAAATGCTATATAATGTAAAGGGTTCATTGTAGCACCAAAAACCACGCACTAACAGCTATATGATGTCTTTTTTAACATATGAAATGTGTCTTAGCAAATCCTCTTACTCCGTATATAACTTTTATACTTATACCATATGCTTCAAATACACAATAATAATGGAAAAAAATAACATCGTAGAAATTCAAGAATCATCTCATTAATTTTCTCTTCTAGGAATTTTAACAATTTGTTGAGCTCAATCTCGATATCCACATCTGACAGCGAGTTCATCTAGCATAGCCTGTTAATACCAACTCTCTTGCTTTCCTTGTAACTGGTATCTTTAACTTAAAATCTATTTTAACATAATTCGTATTTGTGTTTCCACTGCACCATTTCTATACATAATGCTATTTTTTCTCATGTAACAGTTCTCTTGTTGTCTATGATTTTAAACTCACACCAAATGTCACCTAATTTTATGGTTCGTGCTAACTCTTCTCTTTTATTAGTTTGAAATTCTTAAAAAAAGCAATTATGATAAAATATAATTACTTTGCAGCTATGGTTGATGCTTGGTGACTTTGTGATGGCAACAACGCTTAGGATGTATGCCACTGGTCAACAACTTCAAGCTCAACCATAGGCACTTGCTGCGGAGGCGAGTGGTCTTCTTGGTCATACAGACTCCCGGTAGCATAAGCCACCATCCATTGCACTTTTAACTAGAGGAAATCTACAATGACTCAAACTTCTACTTGCGCTTTTGGACACGGAGTTTGATGACTTAGGTCCGTATAAAATTTTAAAGTAACTTTCTGACATTCATTCTTCCCATATGGAAGTACTCACTATCATTCTAAACCTTATCCTATTCGTCCTTATTAAAGGCTTCAATGGTTATTTTAGAAAGCATTGTTTACTACGGAGTATATGAGTCATTTATTATTGGTGTTGTTCCATTGTTTCCTTTATAAGTTTTGTGATCACACTAATTTATATACAACAATCATTTATTTGGCATAATAAAATAGTGTAAAATTGGAATATCTTTTTTTAATATATAGAAAGTCAATACAAAAGCATGATTTTTTTTCTTTGTGTAATTCGGTCAGTTGTGCCTTATAAATTAGGCTCCATCCTTCATAATTACTTTCACAAGGAGTATTATGTATTTAAATCTGGAACTTGCAGTGTTTCATTGGAAGAAGAAAAACACGGAGAACTCATCCTTAGCTTGCCATGCTTGCATCGGGTTGTCTCCTTCACGTTGTTTTATCTCTTCCAACTCCAAACTAAATCTCTCTAAAGATTTTACTCTTTTTGTACGCGGTTTAGCGGTTAAGCTTAAATAAGTATACATATCAACTTCAAAATCCTTTCTTACGAAGTCAAGCTTGGATAGTGAAAGAACACCTAATCTTACGAAGGACAATAATGCTTGGAATTTCTTGCAAAGGCATGTTAATCTTCATTCCAATCTCATACGGCCCGTCATTCTTGTCATTTAAACCCTTCACATAAATGTTTCATGTCTTTTTTCTTATGTTTGTTTTAAAATATTACAAATGCACATACTAAAAAATTTCACAAAAAAAACTTTGAAAATGAAAACTAATCATAACTCACTTCTTATCTTTTTAATTAAACTAAAAAAAATCATCAACCTCTTTTGCCAATACGAGATAAAAACAAAAAACTGGCTCCAGATATCTATGCTCTGCCTCCTCATAAATGACGCTTGTACCTAAATTTCACATCGTTTTTAAAAATAACCCTTACTTTGATTCAATGCATCTTATATTCAACACTGATATTCGATTTTGGGATCATATTCTTTCATTCACTCAGATACATTGGTAAAACCGTAGCTCAAATATTGGATCAACTTATTTGTTCTTATATGTGGATTCTCTATGGGTTTACTTTCATCATTTCATTCAAGGGTAAACCATGCCTAGCATACTGAATTCTTAATTTTGTGTACTAATGTAGTACTATATACATGATGCGTTATATAATTCTTTTCTCCTTTCTCAAACGCAGGAGTTTAAGTGAAAGTACTTTTAAGATTAAGGAGTATCCTCTCTTCACCCCATTCACAGCCTCCAAAATGAATTTGATCTAACTGAAATATATGGGAAAAAGTAAAAGATGCTACAATCCTCAAACTTGTTTGTTTTATTCAGATTTTAAAACTTTGTGTTTATTTCATTGAGTAGTGGATATTGTGCCCCATCAATTTTAAAAATTTTAAAAATTGGGTATTTATTTGTGGTTAGGCCAGGAGCATCAGGAATTTCTCTCGAGGCAGTAACAATACCCGCGCTTATGCTCTCAAACTTGATTCAAATCTCAAGAGTTCCCTCCTAGGGTGAAGTTAGACTACAAGGTTTTATGACTCCATAGAAAGCTGGCGTTTACTTGAGCTTCATGTGCTGTGTAAATTTAACATGACATATTCATGGAAGGGGTCACATAACTTGTTACACATGAAAAGATACTAGGACCCTTTCAGCTCAATTGATGTCTTTAACTAACTCTCATCACCTCTTGTTATGTAAAATTTTTGAAGTAGTTTTTTAATATATATAACTTTTATTTCTATAGATGTACTAATTTATTAATAAAATGATTTTAAAAGTCATAACATTTTACCTCGTAATTCTCAATTTCTAACCGAAAATGGGACGGACGGAGTATGCTTTAGAACATGCTTGGGACCAATTTAATGATGCTGGTCGTAGGTGTTTACATATTCTTGTTTCAATACTTACACTTTCTTCAAAAACTAACTAAAAACCACATGTCCCGCTGTTTACTAAACATATCAATGCTCTTTTTTATTATAAAGTATTAGAATCCATCTATCTATTATTTAAAAAGCCATGAATTTGCATTGGCCTTTTCCCGCTCATTTCATTGTGTATAAAATATGGTAATTCTTAACTACATATGGTAATTACTAAATGGTAATTAATGGATCATTAAAATAACCGTGTATAAGAAAGGTATGAAAAAGGTATAAAAACCGTGTATAAAAAAGGTAACGAATGCTCAACTAAAAATGGTAATTTAATATAACCGTGTAATTAAAATCGTAAAGAATGTTAATTTAATATAACCATGTAAGGTACGAATGGAAATTTTATTTAATTTAGCTCCTATATTTTTGTATATATTTTTGTATTTAAAAACGTATGAAATAAAACCATTTATAATACAAATGGTAATAATAAAAGGTAACTAAAGAAAATGAGAACGTATAACAGAAAAGGTATTTAAAGATGTAATTACCATAATAAACTTTAGTTGTATTTGCTTAAAATTTCGGAGAAAGAATTATATGTTACCATTTAGAATATGTGTGCACTAATAAATAAAGGGTTTTAAATAAGGGAAACGATTAGTGATGAAAATTTTTATGGAATTTGTCTAACAATAACGATTAGTAATTTGTCTAACAATATGTATGGAAATACTTGTAATGGAAAGAAATTTAATTGCGAGATTTGTTACATATTTTTTTAGAATTCGTGTGCATTAAATAAAGGGTTTTTATTAAGGGAAGTGATTGGTGAGACGTGTCTACCTTTAAAAAAGGAAATACTTTTAAAACAT